GGCCGCTCCCCAGCTCGCTTCTTCGAGGAGCAGCCCGTGTTTAGCGCTGTCTCTGCCCCCTTGGTCAGCCGGCTCCTGTCCCTCTCGGCAGCCCCCCGGAGCTGGTGGCAGAGCCTTCTCCGTCCTCACCTGCCTCCACGTCTGCGGCTCCAATTGCCTTGTCGTCGGCTGGCTGCCACGAGCAGTCGTCACCTCTTGGGCCTTCCTCCAGGGCTCGACCTCTCCCGGGGCCACCCCGGGCAGCACTGTGGCTGGCCCACTGCTCTGGGTCTCACTAATCCAGGCTGTGGCTTGGGGCTACCCGCTGCCTCCCCACACTCCCCCTTCGCCTCAGCACAAGCTGCCCCCACCCCAGGAGCCCCTGGCCCCAGCGTCCCACGTCCCAAGCTCTCCTCTCCTCCGAAGGGACAGCTCTCTGTCCAGGTGCCTGCTGGGTCCTCCTTGGTCTCAGTCTCCTGCACACACTACACAGACCTGTGTCCCCTTGGGGGGACCTCTAGATCCCTCTGCTTACCCACCCATCCCCCTGCCCAACTCCTACCTGGTCAGGGTCCGGCCCTGCTGGGAGACACAGCGGCTGGGGGAGAAGGGAACAGACGGCCCGACTGCCGGGGCTGGGTTTACCCCAGAAAACGGAGTCCCTTCACCTGTCCCGGCACTAAAGTGGCCTCTTTAGACAGTTGTTGAGCTGAATAAGTCTAGTTGACTTGAAAACCCGGTTGTGGGTCCCTGAAGTGCACATTCCACGCACGGCTCGGTCACAGATCGTGATGCTCCTCTGAGTACCTGCTGTGCCCCAGGACCCAGAGCCCCCCAGGGAACCACAGGGCGCCCACGGGGCATCTCCCCCACTGCAGGAGCTCGGGCTTCGAAAGCAGCTCAGTGAAGCCCAGTGCCACTTCAGCCACCTGCGCCAAGCACCTCTAACCGCCCCGTGGATGTGGCCACTTTGCCCACGGTCCTGTGAACGTGGTTTCAGAAGCTCCGGATTCCAGAGATAACTGCACTTCACACTCGGCCACCTCCAGGAGAAAACAGATCCCCAAGGGCCCGCCTGAGACTCGTCACTCAGCAGCCTTCACCCTTCAGCACTCTGCCCCCCACCAGAGGGCACGACTGCACGGCCCCTCACGACAGGCAGCGGTCTGGGGCCTCTGCGCTCCCTCCCTCCCCCATCTTTGCTGTTTCCCGGCTGCCCCAGCACCCTGGGCCCCGGGTATCCAACTCCCCCAGGCCTAGCAATGACTGGGAATCGGGCTTCCAGGGCAGGTGGGCCTTTCCTCTGCCAGGTGTCCCTGCAGGGTGGGTGCACAAGGGGCCAGATCCTTGGGGAGAACAGTGAGGCCTGCCAGTCATGGCAAGGGACAAAGTGGCACCCGGGGTGAGAGCTGATGGGAGGATGCCCCAGAGAGAACTTTACTGAAGCCCCGCCCCACCCCCCACCAACTCCTAAATATAAACCCATAATCACCCGTGTGACTGCCTGGGGAGCAGCTTCCTAAACCCACTCCTCTGGCCAAGAAAAGCTGTGATTTGGCTAAAAACAAAACAAAAAAAACCAAGGCCCAGAAGTGGAGAAGGCGTGCAGGGTGCAGTTGTGGAATGGCTCCCACCCCCATACCACCTTTCAGCTCCAGGAACCCCCACCAGCCTGGCCCTTTCCCCTGCACTCACCTGGCAGGACACAGGACAGCAGAAGAGGCCAGGCCCTGGCCCCACCAGCCCGGGGTGGGTGCCCAAAGCCCCCACCCTCCCAGGATGCAGTGAAAGAAACACAGAACCCTGAGGGCTGAGGCAAAACTGAAAACTCAGCCCAGACCACTCCTGAAGCTCACTCCCCAGGGAGCAGGCATCACTGATCAATCATGGCTCCACTCCCCGCCCCCACCCCCCNGAACTTTACTGAAGCCCCGCCCCACCCCCCACCAACTCCTAAATATAAACCCATAATCACCCGTGTGACTGCCTGGGGAGCAGCTTCCTAAACCCACTCCTCTGGCCAAGAAAAGCTGTGATTTGGCTAAAAACAAAACAAAAAAAACCAAGGCCCAGAAGTGGAGAAGGCGTGCAGGGTGCAGTTGTGGAATGGCTCCCACCCCCATACCACCTTTCAGCTCCAGGAACCCCCACCAGCCTGGCCCTTTCCCCTGCACTCACCTGGCAGGACACAGGACAGCAGAAGAGGCCAGGCCCTGGCCCCACCAGCCCGGGGTGGGTGCCCAAAGCCCCCACCCTCCCAGGATGCAGTGAAAGAAACACAGAACCCTGAGGGCTGAGGCAAAACTGAAAACTCAGCCCAGACCACTCCTGAAGCTCACTCCCCAGGGAGCAGGCATCACTGATCAATCATGGCTCCACTCCCCGCCCCCACCCCCCAGCCAGGCTGGGCCTCAGGGTCACTCTCAACACTGGCTCCAGGCAGCACAGAACATGAACCCCACCTGCCTCCTGCAACAGGTCCTGTTCCTCACCTGCCAGCAGGCAGCCTGGGGGGAAGGACAGCGTCTTCTCTTTCTACCCCTCACCCCCAGCTCAGAACGAGGTCAAGTTCTGGTTCCGTGACCTCACCCACAGGTGCTGAGGGTTAAGCCAGCTTGTGGGGGCACAGGTGGAGCTCTTCCAGGTGAGCTTGGCCAGAACAAAGGGCTTCCTCGTGGCCAAGAGCTTTGTCAGCGTCACGCTTGGCCACACAGAGACCTCTGACTTCAAAGCCCAGTGGATGCAACAAGTCTGCAGAGCTGGTGGGGCTGGGCCTTCCCATGTGCTTTGCAGGGCAGAGCTCAGACCGCTCCGTGACTCCGCCCAAGACCCCCCTCTGGGCTGCAGAAGAACCTGATGGCCACATGCCCGCCTCAGGCCCACGGCAGCGCTGGCAGGGACCACCCTGGAAAGGTGCTGGACCAGCTCCAGGGAAGGAGCTCCCGTCTCCATTTGACTTGGGCAGTGGACACAGAGAACTGAGGCACCACACAAGCACACGGGGGCCAGGTCAGCCAGGACCCCAAAACCCTGCAGCATCTCACCATCCCCAGACAGCACTGGCCTGCGCTTGAGATGCACATGCACAACACACAGGTAGTACATACATCCATGTACACCACACACTCAGGTGTACATACAGTGCACAAACATGCATACACACACCCACACGAGTATACACACACACACAGGCGCACATGCATAAATGCACATGGATATACACAGGTGCACACACCACACACGTGGGTATACACTGTGCATACACACACACAGCTGTACATACAGTGCACAAACACCAACACATAGGTGTACACACATGGGTGGGCACGCACACACCTCACACAGGCATACACAGAGGCAGTGTGTACCCACGGGTGTGCACGCACAACACAATGGGTGTACACTGCACAAACATGATGAAGTTTGGATGTGTTGCCCCCTCCAAAACTCATCCAGCAGGGCGAGCCCCTGGCTGGCTAGGACAGAGACCTGTGCCCATTTTTACCATGGACGAAAGGCCTGTGGGCACCTAGGGTGGGTCTGCTCCCACCCCTCACGGTAACCCAGCCCTTCTCCAGATGCCAAAGAGGTTGGGGGACAGGAGGGCCAGGTCCAGATGCTGAAGGTCATGTGGCCTCTGCCCAGGGTTCCACAACAGCCACATGCCAAGCAGTGCAGAGGTGACCAGCAGAAAAGGTGGAGGTGAGCCCGAGCTGGGGCAGGACACCAGGGTCTTCTCAAAAGGACCCCCGTGCAGCCCATACACCCAGCCGGCCCCACAGCACAGACACACACTGACATGGAGGAGCTCACACACCAGCCTCTGGGCACGAGGTGCTATGGGGGGCGGGGCCCCAAACCCCTCTCACCCCAGGTACCAAGACTAGGTTATCTAGGGATTCCACAAAGCTGAAAACTTTCCAGAACAAAACCCCAGGCAGCTGCCTGCGTTCTGAATGGAGGTGGTGAGATCTGCCCGATAAACCAAATTAACTGCACAAAAGATCTGGATGCTCCTCCTCCTCTAGGAAGCCTGAATGACCCAGGTTTCTCTCTTTAATACTCAGCCTCACTCCCTTGGGAGCGCAGCTGCAACCCAAGCCCCGTAAAACGCCCAGGCAGGTGACAGGAACACACGCTGCTCCAGAGAGGCAGGACACCAGCTAGCAGGCAAAGAAGTCAGGGAAGAGGATGTCCACCTCGTCCCTCAGGCTCAGGCCCACGCGGCCTGCGTCCGAGTCCCACGGCTCCAGGGGACCGTCCTGCAGCTCCTGGGAGTCAGGCTGGGAGTCGCCCAGGAAGTTCATCTCTGCCCTGTCCGGAGAGCTGCTCCTGGCTGGGGCCCAGGCAGGGGCACCATCTCCTCTGGTTTCCAGGGACCCTGCAAACAAACAGGACACATCAGTGGAGCAGACAGACGGGTGTTCCAGAAGCCTGGAGCAGGCAAGTGGGGTCAGAGTGCAGGATCTCCCTGTCTGTCGTACCTGTTCCACCAAAATCCCTCTGCTCGTCTGAGAGAGAAACAGCAGCCCTGCCTGGTCCTCCCAGCATGGAGGCCTGTGCTGGAGTGCCCAAGCCCACACCTGGCTCCCAGAACCAGGAGGTCCCCCAACACTAAATCCCAAAGGGGGCAGTCACTCAGTACAACACGGGTCCCGATGCTCTTGCAGGCCGGCCTAGGACCTCACCACTGGGCAATACGGAGTTCCACTCAAGACCAGCTCCACAGGCCACACACACCCCCAACTCACACGAGCTCACACTTTACGTCGAATCCCACTGCCAGTCATGCTGACAACCAGGGACCCCCATCACTCAGAAGGCTGGGCCTGGGTAGCACCTCCCCCCCCAACTTTCCCCAGCCCCACGTGGGGTGGGCTGAGGCCCAAAGCCTGTGCTGGAAANCCCCCCCAACTTTCCCCAGCCCCACGTGGGGTGGGCTGAGGCCCAAAGCCTGTGCTGGAAAAGGCAGCCCTGGACTCAGGGCCCCACTCACCCAGCAACCACTCGGGACTGGCAGTCAGCAAGGACGTCCCATCCTCCACATCAGATCCCCATGCAGACCTGCAGAAAAAAGACCCCCCGAGTGACCACAGGCAGACCCAAGCCCTTGCCATTCAAGGAAACCACTCAGGCCCCAAGTCCTGGAAAGGCAGCTTCGGGCTTAAGGATGGGCCGGGGCATGGCTCCTGCTAGCTCTGCCCAGCCCCATGCAGAGAAAGTGCAGAAGCCACCCCTGCCTCCCACACCGAGGCCACAGGGCTGTCCTGTCTCGTCCTGCCGCGCATCTCTGCTGGGGCTGCCCCGGCCTCAGCCTCACTCCTTCTCCCCGCTTCCCCGCCCAGCTGGTGTGAAAGAACTTGTCTTGCTACCAGCCAAAACAAAGGACGATTAGCAAGACAGAAGCGTTCTCCAAACACATTAGAAAGCCACACGGCAAGTCTGGCTAATCCCTGGCCCACAGATGCACAGCAAGAAAGGACACACCCACCTGTCACCCGGCACAGGTGTCAGAGTCTCCTCGGACTCCTCAGCCGGCCCTGTCACAGGTGCGGCGCCCCCACCCACGGGCCCAGCCTGAACCAGCCAGCTGGGAGCCGCCTCGCTGGAGCTCATGTCGGGGGAGGTCGGCGGCCGCGGGGAGG